AAAATCTTACTTCAGTAAAAGTATTATCATCAAAATGTACTCAAAGTACCAAAAGTAAAAGTACTCATTATGAAGAGTGATATAAATATATACTGTATATATACATATATTATATTATAATTATTGATTTGTTTAGGAAGATGGAACAATATCACTGTGTATTATTCTTAATGATGCAGCAACAGACTTAATACTGAATCTAAATGATTTATCAGAAAAAGAGCTCTTATTATAAAAACAGTTTTATTCATTTCTTTGGTGAACAAACAGACAAAAGTTAATCAGGTACTCTGGTTGTTCAAAATCATTTTGAAAGAAGTTTGTCGATCACACGGATCATCAGATCCTGATCCTGATCCTGATCCTGATCCAGACCACCAACACCATCACATCATCAGAGCAGTACTTACACACACAGCTGGATCTCAGTAGAATGAATAAAAGCAGAACCGGGGCGTCCATGTTCCTTCATGCGTCCTCCAGCTTCAGATGAGCCAAACAGAGGAGCTGAAGGGAAGTCAGTGTATGTGGGGAGGAAAAAGTCAGCGAGCAGCGTTTCCTCCTATTCAATTGTTGTGGAGGTTTCACGGTGAAGGAGTTGTCAGAAATACCAGAGAACATCCTCCATGTTCAGTTCTAATAAACCTCCAGCAGGAAGAGGAGGAGCAGCCCAGATACTTCATGTGGAGACAAATATGTTCAGTTATTAGAAATCATCATAATAATAATAATAGTTCACAAAGAGCTCATGTCTTCAATTATTTAGCTTAAACCACATTTAATAAGACACAGTCAAGGTCAACGTTGTGACTTTGTGACGTTGTGACTTTGTGACTTTGTGACGTTGTGACGTTGTGACTTTGTGACGTTGAGACGTTGTGACTTTGTGATGTTGCGACTTTGCACAATTGCGTCGTTGAGACTTTGTGATGTTGCGACTTTGCGACGCGACGTTGAGATTTTGTGACGTTGCGACTTTGCGATGTTGAGACTTTGCGACTTTGCGACTTTGCGACATTGAGACTTTGTGACGTTGTGACATTGGGAATTTGTGACGTTGTGACGCTGAGACTTTGTGACGTTGTGACGCTGAGACTTTGTGACTTTGAGACTTTGTGACGTTGCGACGTTGCGACTTTGAGACTTTGTGACGTGACGTGACTTTGAGACTTTGCGACGTTGAGACTTTGTGATGTTGAGACTTTGTGACTTTGTGACGTTGCGACGTTGCAACTTTGTGACTTTGTGACTTTGTGGCATTGAGGCTTTGTGACTTTGTGACGTTGAGACTTTGAGACTTTGTGGCGTTGAGGCTTTGTGACTTTGTGACGTTGTGACGTTGAGACTTTGTGACGTGACGTTGAGACTTTGAGACGTTGAGACTTTGTGACTTTGTGGCGTTGAGGCTTTGTGACTTTGTGACGTTGTGACGTTGAGACTTTGTGACTTTGTGGCGTTGAGGCTTTGTGACTTTGTGACGTTGTGACGTTGAGACTTTGTGACGTGACGTTGAGACTTTGTGACGTTGTGACGTTGAGACTTTGTGACTTTGTGACGTTGAGACTTTGTGACTTTGTGGCGTTGAGGCTTTGTGACTTTGTGACTTTGTGACGTTGTGACGTTGAGACTTTGTGACTTTGTGACGTTGAGACTTTGTGACGTTGTGACGTTGTGACGTTGAGACTTTGTGACTTTGTGACGTTGAGACTTTGTGACGTTGTGACGTTGAGACTTTGTGACTTTGAGACGCTGTGGCGTTGTGATGTGTAATGTAATGTGGTGTGATATGATAAATGAGTTTATATCTGTATTATTATTGTAGTTTTGGGTATTTGTTTGTGTTATTTTCGAGACTTGGTTTGCATGTCATGTTACCCTCCACCTTTAGCTGTTCGACTCCCCCCCCCCTCCTTTCACTGACATCCTGCCCTAGACAGGAGGAGAAGGAGGAAGAGGAAAAGGAGGAACATCTCCTCCACCCTCTACATCCTGACTGCAGTCTTCACACTGAACAAACACAACAACCTGAAGTTCACTTCAACACGGTACAAGAATATTTCACTGAAATACAATCTTTCAAAATAAAGTGCTCAGCGCAGCATCTTTTTCATTTTAATGAATAAATGTCCAACCTGTTCTTTCAATACAAAACTAAACACATGAACAATTCTCCTCGGAAAATGTTCTACTAATATACATGAAACAATTCAACTCGTTCAGTATGAAATCCTTCACTAGATATATTTACTCAAGCACTGCAATACAAGTTTCAGGTACTTGTACTTACAATTTGTGTTACTTTATACCTTTACGTCTGTACTACAATTATCTGACAGCTTTAGCTATTTGTTACTTTCACAGAGGTAGGTTTTACACACAAAATGTGTGATGAACGTGTATAAATACTGCATTGTTCCAAATGTATCTACAGTATATAAAAATATACAAGGTAAGTAAAAGTATCTTCACCTTAAGCAGCTACAACATTGCAACTTTAATGCATCTAATAATATAATATATCATATATGTGGTCGCTCACTTTCACAGCTTTGCATTTAAATTAAAAGCAACAGGAAGTTCAAACCCTTGACCTTCAGATTAAAAGTCTCTCTGCTCTGCTGTAAAATAGATAAACATAAAATAACATATCAGACATCAGACAGTGATGGAGCTGAAGACTAATCAGATACAACGTAAACTGTCAGAATCAAGACGATCAGAAACTCTTCTCTTCTGTGAGTGTGTGTTGTGTACAAATGTGTATTAGTAAAGTGTGTGTATTAGTACAGTGTGTACAGTGTGTATTAGTACAGTGTGTGTATTGTATGAGGTCCCCGCCCTCTTCAGGAAGTGTTTCTGTGTCACCTCAACAAACTGAGTTGTATTGATAGTAAATCTTTCACAGGCTCAGTCATGTGTGTGTGTGTGTTTTTATAAAACCTTACAACCCACCAATGAAATATAGTATGTAATATATACATGCAGGGCTGCTCTTCCAGCTGTAAAGCTGCTGTCTGCTGGACTAGAAGCTGTTGTTTGTTCTCTCCTCATCAGACAGTTCAAGGCCTCCGTCTGTCCTCAGAGGTCAGGCTGAGGGAGTGTCTCACTGCAGAGGAAGAGCTTCATGACTGTGTGTGTGTACTTTGTTGAGCTTCATCTGAATAGTTTGTTTGTGTTAAACATTAAAATCTAATCATAAAAGTAAAATTTCAGTCTCACAATGACTCACTGTCTCTTTAACTCGTTGACTCATTTCCTGTTTACCTCTCAATCATCTGCTGCCTCTCTTCTCTCTAGAGCCACGCTGCAACGTGAGGTTTATAATATAACCAGCTTACTTCATATAATAGATTTTACTACATCGGCTCACTTCTTAGTCTGAATTTAGTTCTCTATAAAAACATTGATTTATTATTTAACACATGCAACTGTTCGCAATTTCTCCTCTAATATTTCCACTTGGAGTCACTCAACAGTGACTGCTATTCACCACTTAACTGGATCATGTGTCCTTGTGGAACCAATTAAGCTGAATATTCAAAAACATGTCACATCATTATTGCATAACAAATAAAAAAGCAAAGGACCTAGGACACCACAGTTCATTTCTAGCCTCAGATAGAGTTCTGTTAGTATCAACTGACACCCATCATAGAAAAATTACTGAATCTACTTACACGCCATCATACAGAAACCCGAAGCGTTGCCTTAGGCAGTAGATTATAACTGTGTCCAACAGCACCATCACAAAGAATCGGCCCAAATGAATGAGCGCGTTTGTTGTGGGACTCTTTCAAATCAGACTGCATGTAATGCAACACATCTGAATGAAGCCGTTAACCTGATGGACACTTTAACTTACTTCAGGTTTATAGTTAGGACTGGCTCAGGTTTATTAGTAGTTTCCATCACATTACTCTCATTAATGAATCATCTCTGTCATATGCATTGCATGTGTTGTAACCGTTATGTTGTTCGTTCTTACACACTTCATCCCGATGGAGGACGAGGATGATCCTCTGTTCATCTCTGACGTCTCTTCTCTACCGACGTCGTATGTTTACAGATAGTTAACTCATCAGTTTACTGCAGTTTACCTGATGGACATGTTAACCAAAGTAAAGACACAATAACACTTCAGGAGACATTTCTTATTAAAATAATTTAATAACATTTGAATCCAACATGTAGAAAACAACAGTGGAAGGACTTCTCTCCTCTCAAATACTCTTTAATCATTATATGGTAGAACTTTGACAAAAAGAAAAAACAAGGGAGCACGATAGCGAGTCCTGCAGAGTCCTGCAGCTGGTTCAGTCTCTGTGGCTCAGAGTCTCTCAGACGGACCAAATAGAAAAGATTCAGTTTGTCTGCTTCTGTTTTAGTTTGATCACTTTAACAAAATAATCTTGTTTCCTCAGGAGACAAAGAAAAGACAAGGTGCAGATGTTGCAGCATCGCTACAGGAGGGAAAACATCCTCTAAATACACGCCCCCAGAAAAATACATCCCCCCCCAGGTAAAATCAAATGGGAGGAAATGAAGTCCAAATGAAAGGTGACAGAAACGAAACAGGGAGGACATGAATAAACAGTGTGTCACTCAGCAGGTCCATACTTACGTACATGATGTGATATAAGCTGGTGTCTCACAGGTGTGTGTGGGGGGATTCAGGTCCTCCCTGTTTCGTTTCTGTCACCTTTCCCCCCATCCTCACTGCCTCCCATTTGATTTTACCTGGGGGGGGTGTGTGTTTGGGGGGGGGGGGGGGGGGGGGGGGGGGGGGGGGGCATCTGTCTTACCTCGTCTGAATCGTTCACTGTTTATTTCTACTGTCTGAGTTACGATGCGAGTGTCACTGCTCTTCTGTCTCTGGAGAAGCTACTAAACTGAGCCGCTCAATGAGACTCACTCCCACCTGTTGACACCTGTCCACCAGCCTCCTCAGTCGGTCCGAGACTCCTCCCTCTGCTGCTTCAAACAGCAGGCGCTGTGTGGGGGGGGAGACGACAAGAGGAGGGGGGCAAAGACAGAGTAGGAAGGGAGGGGGAGAGAGGCGGTGAGGATGGGGGAGGGCAGCAGGTGAACATGCGTGTATACAGGTGAGGTGTAAACATTCACTCCTTCACTTCCTGTGTCTCAGGTGAACAGGGCGGGGCTATAGGAGAAGACACAGGGTGCATATATTACATCCTTAACCGGGAGCCGGGACTTTCCCACCTGAGACACAGGAAGTGGCCGAGTGGACTGACCCGGGTCTGTTATGTGTGCGAGTGATGAGAGTAACAGAGAAAGTGAAGGGTAAATTACATGTTTCCACAGGGCAGCACACAGTGGGAGGTGTTGAAGAGCCTGCTGATATAGAAGTCGAACCTAGAAGAGAAACAAAGCGACATAAAAGAAGAAGGGAGGAGAAAGAAACAGCAGACGGATGAAGCATCGAGTCAGTTCACACAGAAACATCACAAAACCAATGGTTCAGTCGTAAATATAGAAGCAACAACAATCAGACTGTCAATCACCACTTTATATAGAGCCTGTAGGGAAGAAACCAGATTCAGTTACATGATCATCAACAGCTCAAACCTCCAGTCAACGGTTTTACAGGAAAAGGAAACTGATTTTAAGGGTGCCGACTGTCACATGACCTCCATCACTCACCTCAGATGGCTTCTTTAGCTCCCTCTCCACAGCTATCAGTCTGAGAGACACAGCACAAACACGGTCAGCTTCATTCACCTCAGACCACACTGGACAGGAGACCTCACACTGAACACGGACTCTGTTTGTGTTTGGTGAACTCACATCTCCCAGTAGGCCAGACACTTTGGAGCCTGACTGCTCAACATCCGGACCTGGAACTTCAAGTGTTCAATGTTTCCGTCCTGCCACTCCTGATGCAGCAACCTGGACAGCAACACAGCAACTCAGGAAGCAACCAACACAACCAGCCCCAACTATAAAACAGAGCCGGCCCCAACTATAAAACAGAGCCGGCCCCAACTATAAAACAGAGCCGGCCCCAACTATAAAACAGAGCCGGCCCCAACTATAAAACAGAGCCGGCCCCAACTATAAAACAGTGCCGGCCCCAACTATAAAACAGTG